GGACAAGATTGGTAAGCCTGGAGGAATTTTTTAGTCTAACAGGTGATAGAAAAGGAATAAGAGAGATTTAAATTAATCAAAAGACACAAAGAAAGAAAACACTTCAAGCATATTCTTTATCATTGAAGAAGATAGGTAGAATAAATTCTAGGACCTTCATAAGCTATGTTTCTCTTGTTTCAGAAAAAGGAAAAGAAAAAGCTGATCTCAAGTCTTAATGCACACTAGAATTCCTATGGTTGCTGAGTGAATGGTCCATTGTCACTTTTCCCCAAGAAATGAAATTAAGAAACACTACCCATAGTTAAATGCAGCCTTTATAAATAGTCTGTAACCCATTTTTATAAGTAATACATGACACTCCTTCCCTCCCTCCCAAAAAAAAAAAAACAGAAAACTGAAAAGATAGGCTGGCCTAGCGGCTACTGAAGCTGGTGGGTGTTAGCACAGGCTTCTACTAACAAGATATTGCACTCCCAAAAGACTAATCTATGCTTTTAGAGAAAATGACCAGTATGTGCTCAGAGATAATTTATTCTCTTTTTATATATTCCATAAATCAGCTGGCCCTCTTTCCTGTAAAATTATGCATTGTTGTGTCAGTCTTCCTGGAGCAAAGAGAAACGCTGAATTCCCATTAAATTAAATAGGGGAGAAAATACGCAATATACAAGTTCTGAATGAAAGTAGACTAAGAAAAGGGATATGCCTGTGGGGTACACGCTTCTAAAACCTTAGTTTCAGAGGTTGTGGAACACTGAGTTTCAGTTCCTCTGTCAAAGCAAGGGTCAACTGAGAACAAACAACAGATCCAAAGCATTGTGGGTACTGTTAAAATTGAATACATACTATAATCTTATGCTCTAGTTCAAAGTGTTTCCCCTTGGCCCAGTGGACAACAACACATCCATTGTCTAATAGGGTGGCAGAGGGGAAATGGTTGCCTCCAGGTTCATTCTCTTGCCAAAGGTTGCAATTCATACTCTTTCAGTCCCTGCCCCCAGTCCCTCAGAGTGGTTCTCAAACTTGGCACTGGAGTGCTGTGGGGGATCCTTTGAAACTGATGCATTGGCCCCACCCTGATGGTTTTGATGGAATTGCCCTGAGGTTTGGACTGAGCATGGGAAATTTTAAAAGCTTCATACTTGGTTCTAACACAGTCAAAGCTGTGAGGCGATATTTGAGGCTTCAGAGGCCATCCAGTGATATCCCATGCTGTGGTTAGCAGGTGTGCAGTGGCTTGTTAAGATTGTTAGTTTGTGATCCCTCCTGTTCTCCTCCTCCTCCTCTTCTCCCCTCTCCTATCTTCTACCTCCCTCCCCCTCCCCCATGGTCCCAATTTGTTCAAGAGCTCTTGTACCTTTCCCCTTCACCAGGGGACCATGTATGCCCCTCTTAGGGTCCTTCTTGTTTCCTAGCTTCTCTGGAGGTGTGGATTGTAGGCTGGTAATCCTTTGCTCTATGTCTAATATCCATATATGAGTGAAAACATGCCATGTTTGTCTTTCTGTGACTGGTTTACCTCACTCAGGATGGTAAGTCCCTCCATTTGCCTGCGAATATCAAGATTTCATTGTTTTTATTCTGCTGAGGAGCACTCCATTTTGTAAATGTACCACATTTTCTTTATCCATTCTTCAGTTGAGGGGCATCTAAGTATCTTCCAGGTTCTGGCTGTTACAAATAATGCTGCTATAAACACATTTGAACTAATGTCCTTGTAGTATGAATGTACATTCTTTGGGTATATGCCTAAGAGTGGAATCACCCACACATGCCTGCCTCAACAGCAACAACAGAAAATCTTGTGTAGATGAACATATTCTCTATGAAAAGAGCAATACTGACAATTATAAGAATATATGGAAGGCTTCTTTTTGTTTGTAAAAATGTTCACATAATTTTCAAGATATACAAAAGTCTAGTGAAACATGGACATCAGAAGTGACCCTGGCCATATGAGGAAACCACTGGTAGCTACCTGTACTTTTGTCACCAAAACAGTTTCTCAAGATTTTAAAAGCTAATTATTAGAAGACTGGATTCTATTCTGCTCAAACAGCCTCCTGGTAATACTTCCACTGACTTTACACAGATCAGCCCTCACGGCCTGTGGCAAGAGCAGGAGTCTCTTGCTCACAAGACCACTGAAGAAGGTAAGGACATCACCTAGAGATCCTACGCTCACCCTGTGAATTAGGAAGCCTCCTCACCGGGATCCCGACGCAGAAACTGAGCTGTTCTATTCTGCTTCCCAGCAAGAAGGTCAGAAAGCACAGACTTAAGAATATCAGTTTGTGATGAAAAGCAGGGCGCCTTCATTTTTTTCCAGCAGCGAATGAATTCCCAGAAAGTTGAAGCACCCATGTGCATTGGTGACCTTTAAATATATAACAGCTAAAGGGCGTAGAAAGGGGAGTTCACATGAATCTCAAAACCTATTTTCTTTCAGTCTGTGACCCATCACCTTGTTTGCTGTCAGAGAGGTGAAACTGTTAAAATGTTAACAAGCTTGGCCTGTGAGAGTGAGAAGTCTAGCATAGACATCGGGCTTGCATATGTGAACACATGTAACTGCTTTATATGGAGCCAAACTGGTAAAAGCTAAGAAGTTAGTGCTTTAGAATATAATCCCTACTTTAGAAAACTGATGACTTTCCAATTGTTGACCACTGCGGAGTCTATCAAGAACCTTCCCTCACCTGCAAGAACCACAGTGCACCGTCACAGAGTTGGCCTTGGGATAAGAAGCTAAAGTAAGGAGTCACAGAGAGAAAAAACGTCCAGGGGGCATGGTGAGGAGTTTGGGGATGAAAGAATGGAGTCTGTTGAGGGGATGCAGGAGGAGTGGTGATGATAATGATATAGTATTAATAATCTGTCAGTGAAGTCTCTCAAGGAGACCAAGCGCATAGTGACTGCGTAGGGAGCATGCCCGGAAGAGGAGTTCAGTGTGTAATGAAAAGAACTCACTTTCTAACAACATGAATTGGCCTAAGTAAAAGCCCAGTGCCAGTGAGGTGGTTCAGAGGGTAAAGAGCTTGCTGTTGAACTATGTGCACACTTATACACAGCAATAAAACACAAATTAAGTAATTAAATGCAACTACATGGTTATTTAATTCACACACACACACACGCACACACACAATTATGCTGAGTAGATTTTTCCACATTTGTAGGAATATTTACGGTCATCTAATTGAAAGCCTGCCCGGGTGACATGAATGGTACTCAGTGTTGGCCCTGGGAGCAGAAGTATAGTGACACTAGTCTGGAAAGAAGTGACCCTGATGTGAAATGTTATCAACTGCAGAACACGTGATCCCCGAAGGTGCCCCATGTCTTAATGACACCAGTGTTAGCATCCAGGCGCACCTTGGTCCCGCCCCTTGGGGACCTGGCAGAGTGCATCAGTCCTGCAAGCATGGCAAAGCAAACAATAGCCCGGCTTTATGCTCGCACAAAAGTTCCCGTTAAGAGATAAGCTCCACCTACTTCCTCTCTTTCCTTCCTGCCAGTCCTTCAGAAGAGGCAGGCAGGTCTACACCTGTCTCTCTCTTTCTCTCTTCTCTCTCCCCTCTCTCCCTTCCCTTTCCCTACTCCCTTCCCTTCCCCCAATAAAACGTCCCTTGGAAATTCTGCCTGACTGGCCTATTTGTCTCTCACCTACCAGGAGATCCTCCAAGGTCCCCCTGGTGCCGCCTGTCATAACATGGAAGCAGTCTTGAGAACCAGGCAACCACCATCCGTGCCCCACCTGCTATCCCTTTAATACCTCACCTTTTAATATTAAAAAAAAAAGGTGGCAATGTTGAAATCACGGTATTACACTGGCCTGTTCCCCGTCAGCCGCTGCTGGCTAGATGCACCCACCGGCATTCAGGCAAACACTTAGTCAGCATGGCTACGTCACACATTGTGTGGCTGGCTACATTATACCTTGGATGGCCACATAAGGCTCTGTACAAATGTGCCAAAGTTCTCTTTTAAGCAAGTTCTGCTCACCTCTGCCCCTCTCTTCACTTCCTTTCTGGGTCATCGCAAGCTGTCTCCAACCCTTTCCTAATAAACTCCCGCGTGGGTTTATTGTACTCCGCGACTCATCCCTCTCTGCCACCCAACAACAGCTAGCATACTGAAAAAGTACTTAGGAGAGAATTTGCCCCGACTCACACCATCTCCAGTGTCCTAGGCACAGGTGTGGTTGCCTCTCTCCTGCTCCAGCTCAGCCTGAGGAGTGTAACTTTCAGCCCTCACCAAAGAAGCTTGTTTTCACAACAGATACTATTTATTCCAAAGACTGACAACTGGTCAGAATGCAGAGAAAAGTGACTGAGGGGTGGGCAGCCCCAAATGATGCGTCTATAATGCAAACCTTATACCTACGGCTCGGGGCACATTGTGGAAGAGGGAGCAGAAAGATTGTAAGAGTCAGTGAGCCAGGATTCCTGCTTCAAGATAATGTCTTGTAGAAAGCAGGGACGCTGTACCCATGAAATCTCAAAAACATGGTTCCCTAAATACAATGGTCATAGCAACAGCTCCAGTTGACATGCTAATACAGCGTTAGATGAAGACATGTAGGTAATCAATGGCTACTGAGAGAAGGATAATCAGTTTTCTCCAGGGACAAGCTCCCTCATGGGTTATTTCATCCAAGTGCTCGGCGCTAAACATGTGCGCATACAAGTAATACTAAAGACCTTAGCCAGAGATATGTGCGTATGTGTACATTAACTATTATACACATCTTTATTTATGTTGCATTTATTTATTAAATGTAATAATTAAGACAGTTATGAACTTGAGTGGGTGGAGGGGCACAATACAAGAGGAGTTGGATGGGAGAGGAAAGGTTGACATAAACAGAACTCATGCATAACATTCTCAAAAAATGTAACAAGTTGTGGACTACAGCAATGGTTCAGATGTTGAGAGTGTCTGCTGTGAAAGCAGGACCTGGTTCCAAATCACCAGCTCCATGATAAACACTTGGCATGGCAACCCACCAGTGTGATCCCAGCAAGAAGACCCCAGGAGTGTACAACCGCAAGAAGACCCCAGGTACAGTGCAAGCAGAGGTAAACTTCTGACTCACTGGAACAGTGTGTCAGAAAAAAGATGGAGAACCATAGAGAAAGACCCCTTACACACTCCTGCCTCTACATGTACAAGCATGGGCATGTGCACACCCCACACCTGTGCATCCATTGTACACACATGTAACATACATGTGTATCCATCACATACACATGTCACATCTATGTATCCAACACACACACATATCATACCTGTGCATCCATTGCACACACATGTGTCATACATGTGTATCCATCATACACACACGTCACACTTATGTATCCAACACACACACACATCATACCTGTGTATCCATTACACACACACACATAACACCTATGTATCCATTGCACACACACATATCATACATGTGTATCCAACACACACACATATCATACCTGTGTATCCATCACACACACACATATCACACCTGTGTATCCATCACACACACATGTCACACCTATGTATCCAACACACACACACATATCACACCTGTGTATCCATCACACACATATCATACCTGTGTATCCATCACACACACATGTCACACCTATGTATCCAACACACACACATATCACACCTGTGTATCCATCACACACACACGTCACACCTATGTATCCAACACACACACACATATCACACCTGTGTATCCATCACACACACACAACACCTGTGTATCCATTGCACACACACATATCATACATGTGTATCCAACACACACACATATCACACCTGTGTATCCATCACACACACACATATCACACCTATGTATCCATCATACACACACACACATATCACACCTGTGTATCCATTACACACACATAACACCTATGTATCCATTGCACACACACATATCATACATGTGTATCCAACACACACACATATCACACCTGTGTATCCATCACACACACACATATCACACCTGTGTATCCAACACACACACACATATCACCTGTGTATCCATTGCACACATGTAACATACATGTGTATCCATCATACACACATGTCACACCTATGTATCCAACACACACACACATCATACCTGTGTATCCATTACACACACACACAACACCTGTGTATCCATTGCACACACACATATCATACATGTGTATCCAACACACACACATATCACACCTGTGTATCCATCACACACACACACATATCACACCTGTGTATCCATCACACACACATGTCACACCTATGTATCCAACACACACACATAATACCTGTGTATCCATTACACACACACACAACACCTGTGTATCCATTGCACACACACGTATCACACATATCATACATGTGTATCCATCACACACACATGTCACACTTATGTATCCAACACACACACACATATCACACCTGTGTATCCATCACACACACATATCACAACTGTGTACCCATTGCACACATATCATACCTGTGTATCCATCACACACACACACATATCACACCTATGTATCCAACACACACACACATATCCCCACACCCACACACCTGTGTATTCATTACACACACACACACACACACACACAGGCACCTATAACATACAACAGATTTTTAACTTTCATATAAATAACATCAGAAACCTTAAATTTTATTTAGCACACTTAATATGGTAGCTACTTTTACAGCAATCTGGAAGGGTATGTTTTAAAATTAAATACTTATACTGAGGTAATTCTAGAATACAGAAAAAAAATGTATCAAGTCCTTTGGCAACTGGGAATGACTTTCACATTAAATAACTAATCAACAATGTGTGAACCAAGATCAAACTCACGGAGTCCTATACAGAATGCCAGTGTGTGTAACCCTTGAATGTCTGGAAGCAAGAGGGGGATTCTGACCCAGCGTGGCAGTGTTCTCTGCTTACACTCTCGCTACTCCCCTATCATGGTGGCACCTGGCTCTGGAAAGACACACAAGGACACACTAGCTTTGGCATACAAAACAAGGGACTAGATAAGCGTCTTGGATTTCCACACAATGTTCAGTCAAGTGCTACAACATTACCATTTTTCCCCAGTGGCTCTCAACCTAATTCCACATTAGAGCCACCTACACAGAGTTTTCACATTTTCATACCTACGTGATAACTCTAATTAAATAAAAACCCCTGTGGTTGGGGCCCAGGCATTGATGTTCTTAATTTTCTCTCCCCAGAGAAGCCCAATGTTCAGCGGTCTTGGAAACTGACATCCTAGTCTTATCCAAGAAGTAAATACTCACCAAATGAAGTGATACTGTTTCTTATTTTGAAATTCATGTGCAGTAATTATGGTTCTCACCTGTGAATACCCAAGAGTGTCCTCTCATTCAGTATCAGCTGGCCTAGACAAGGGTCAGATTGGGGGGGGGGGGATAAGACATAATCTTCATTTTTTTTGCTAACTATATGCCACAGTATTTTTAGTTCAGCTCCAGTGAAAACAGAAATGATTTGTTGTCTTTCTAGCTGAATCGTGGTAATTCCCTATGTGCAGCATGAATGAGCATGCCTGTGGGCAAACGGATAGGTATGGATTCTTTCCTATGTGAAAGAATAGATCAGACCTTTGCTTTGTCCATTTCCAGAATAGGATTCTTGCCCTCAACTATCTGTGTAATTTATAAAAACAAACTAAATAATATGCATAAGTTTGAATATGTCTCCCATCTTTTAATGATCTGATTTAATAATAGTTTTCTCCCCCTTCTCTGATCACCTGCTATACAGTAACTGAGATTCATACTGTGATACCAGTAACTCATGGTCTCTGCTTTGCACTATAACCTGGTTGCTGTGTAGGGTGCACAGTAAGTACACTAACCTCTAAGCTTTTCACAGAATACAGCACCGACCTCATGTATCATCCATTCAATGGCTGTCAGAAACCAACAGAATATCCTGCTTTCAATACAAGCCCTACTTTTATGCAGGAAAAAAAAGATTATTGTCTTCAGAGGCAATGACTGGCAGGAAACTGATGGCTCTGGAGGCAAAGAGGTGAAAACATGAAGAGTTCTATTTTCCACATCAGCCAAATGGTAATTAAGTCACAAGTGAAATACCTTTGGCAATATTAATTCTCATAAGGAGACTTCAATAAGCCTGAAATCAGCACTTAATTTTTCATTCTCTTATTTCTCGGAGCCCTCAATGAAACAGTTCCAATTCTAATTTAAGATATGTTGCCAAAAACTGATTGAAAAAGCATGGTTCGTGAGTAAGTTGTTTAGGTAAGCATTGTTTAAAGTTGGCAATGAATACTTCCTCAAAGTATTGACTTCTGTACCCTACATTTTATCCTTGTAATAGAAAGACACTGTTCTTTGAACTTGGGAATACCTAATGTCCACAACTGACTTCTGGTTTTTACTAAATCTGAAAAGTGTAAGACAAAGTTTGAAATTTTATAAACTGCATTTCAAATGGAAATAATTTCTGTGGTGATATCTTGCTTGTACAAATAAAGCCTGTCAAATGGATAGAACTAGAAGAAACCATCCTGAGTGAGGTAACCCAGACACAGAAAGAAAAACAGGGTATGTACTCACTCATAAGTGTGTATTAGACATAAGCAAAGGATTACCAGCCTACAATCCACAAGCCCAGAAAATCTGGGAAAACAAAGAGGCCCCTGGAGACATACATGGTTCCTGGAGGAGAAAAGGACAAGATCTCCTGAGTAAATTGGGAGCATGAGGGGAGTGGGGAGGGAGGTAAGAGAAAGAATAGGGTTAAGGGAGGAAGACATGAAGGATCAGGAAGATTGAGCTGGGGGAAGAATAGAGGAGAGCAGGATGAGAGATACCATAATAGAGGAGGCCATTATAGGTTTAAAGAGAAATATGGCACTAGGGAAATGTTCAGAGATCTACAAGGATGACTCCAACTAAGAATCTAAGTAATAATGAAGAGGCTACCTTAAATACCCTTCCCCTATAATGAGAATGATGACTACTTTAAATGCCATCATGGAGCCTTCATCCAATAGCTGATGGAAGCAGAAGCAGAGATTCACAGCTAAACACTGAGCTGAACTCCTGGTGTCCAGTTGTAGAGAGGGAGGAGTGATGAGCAAAGGGGTGAAGACCATACTGGGAAACCCACAGAAACAGCTGACCTGAGCAAGTGGGAGCTCACAGATCCCAGCCTGACAGCTGGGGAACCAGCATAGGACTGAACCAGGTCCTCTGAATGTGAGTGTCATTTGGGAGGCCTGGGCAGTCAGTGGGGCCTCTGGCAGTGGAAACACTATTTATCCCTAGTGCACAAATGGGCTTTGGGAGCACATTCCCTGTCGAGGGATACTCTCTCAGCCTAGATACATGGAGGAGGGCCTACATCCTGCCCCAAATTATGTGTCAGACTTTGATGATCCCTCATGGGATTCCCCGCCCTGCCTTGGGAGTGAATAGGGGTGGGATCAATGGTTGGTGGGGGGTAAGGGAGGACAGGGAGGGGGAGAGAACTGGGATTTGTATGTAAAGTAAGATTATTTTTTAATTTAAATAAAAATTTATTTAAAAAAAAAATAAAGCCTGTTTGAAGGTCAGAGAATGGAGCTAGCCATTAGATAACCATAGAGGTCTGGATGTCTGTACAGACAGACAGGAAGTGAGATGCCTGGATGGAAACACAAAGTGAGCTGTCTAGGAAAAGAGGGGATAAATGCAGGCAGAAACAGGAACTCTCTCTTGTCTGCTGAGAGGCTGGAGAGGTAAGGTATGGCTGTGGCTTGCTCCTTCTCTCTGATCTCTCGGCATTTTCTTCTATATCTGACTCTGGGATTTTATTATTTAGACCAATTAAGAACCCCATTTACAATCTAGCATATTTTAACATTCTCTTTATTTCCCTCTTTCTCTTAACAATATTGGATTTAAAAGGTATCCTGCCTATTGTCTTCATATTCTCCTATAGTGATGTTTTTTACCATCCAGAACTAATGTTGGAAAGAGTACATAATTGTTATAAATTTCATATTTGTCTCTAAGATTTTAGTCAACCTCTTACCACTTATGTAATAAAATTATTTCTCTATATGAAATAATTTCCTTAGCCTCAAAGTGGAAGGTTGATACCAATACTTCTGAGAAATTCATTCTTTCACAGCCAGAATATCTATCTGATGATTCCAAATGAAGAAAACACTCCTAATATTTTCCTACCACATACTACCCATGGTGTATGAATAAGAGCATTCTAAGAACCAGAATTCAGTCTCCAATTTCAGGTCAGTTCATTGTTAGATGTTTGTCAAGGACTGGTGTCTTCGGGGCTGTGACTGGGACCAGTCAAATATCCCGGGTCCGTTACTGAGTGGGGGAGAGTGGATGTGAAAAACCTCAATACACCCGCCCCTTTTTGGGAAGGTCGCCTCAGTGGAAAATTCTCCAAGGTCCCTTCCCCTGGACAGGGAACAAGGTCTAATTAAAAAGAACATCTGGTCCAGAGTGCTAACGAAGGAAACCGGCAGGCTGTAGAGATAAGTGTACATCTGACCTTGTGGTTTCTCCAGGGAGGATGAGTTCTGCCTGCGCTTCTGACAATCCCCTATTGCTTGCCCAGATCTGCACCTGCAGTAGCTCCACTCCTTACAATACCCCTATTACTTTGCTTGCCAAAATTATGTATATAAAAAGAAAGCTGTCCTAGGGCCTGGGCGCGTTCAGTTAGCCGAGTGGTTGCATCCAACTGTCTGGTTATTGGGCTCGGACATCACAGGGGTATTCAGCCTGAAGCCCGCTTACTTCAGGTCTTTCAGATGAGGGAAGGCTAGCTATAGACATTAAAGAGAAGATGGAGACACAGGATAGTGTCAGGAGGGCAGATCCAGTTAATAATGAATGCCCCAGTTTATTCATGCATCATCTTAATTAACCAACCAAAGGTGGGGACAATGGCAGAAGACTTCTATTTTTATGTATAAAGGGCAAAGAGCAGTCACTTCCCTTAATCCTAAAGGCACTCCTTACTACTTGGCCATCAGAAGCTCCATAGCAACATGTACCATCTAGCCTTCAGGATGAGTGCAAACTCTCCTGGGCCTAGCTCTATTGTTATTTAGATAGGAGCCATTCACCACCAAGGTTAGGACATCCTGCAGCCATTAAACTAATATCTTAAAGACAATAGGAGTAACTTGAGCTCTCTGAACAGGATGGAATAGATTTCCAATACATGATCCCCAACAGATGTTTTAAGATTTGTTTTTATGAGTATTGATGTTTTGCCTGCATGGACATCTGTGTGCCACACGTATACAATGTCCTCAGACGCCAGAAGAGGGTGTCCATTTCCCTGGAACCAGGCTTATAAATTGTGAGCTACCATGTAGATGCTGGAAAACAAACCCAGGTGCTCTGTAAGAACAGCCAGTGCCCTTAAGTGCTAAGCCCCTGTTCAGTTCCACTGCTAAAAGTTTTAGCTACCCTTATCTAGTTTGAATCCTTTGAGTCAAGTTTATTAAGGTATTAGCTTGAGCTAATTTACACTGTGTTCTACCGCTTAATCCAGTTTAATCTTCATGTCAGCCTTTCCCATGGCACACCTAAAGAACAATAATGCCTAGAATGAACTATCAGCAAGAATAGCACACTGGTATAGAAATGTGTATATGGTACAGGAAAAGGGCAAGGTAATTATCCTTGTTTTGTGGAGAAGTCTACAAAATCCCAAAGATCTTACAATTCTGACATGAAAAGTCAAACTGAGAAAGCACTTGGTAGATACTTAGAGACAAGGTCAGGGAAAGAAAAATATAATAAAAATAACATGCACATGCAAGATTGGCTGGTGAACATAAGGCATACTTCAGATTAATGTTCTATGAGCAGTTATCTGGGCGTGGGAATTGGGTAGGCCTAAGCTTCAAATGAATTGAGTTCATGCTGGCTGCCATAGAGAGTGAAAATGGCTCCCGTTGACTCATGTGGAGTGGCCCTGTTAGATGTGGCCTTGTTGGAGAAAATGCTTCACCTCACTGGGGGTGGGCTTTGACATTTCAAATGCTGAAGCCAATCCCAGTGTCTCCTTTTCTCTCTCTTCCTGTGGATCCAGATGTAGAACTCTCAGCTCCTCCAGCCCCATGTCTGCCTGCATGCCACCATGCTTCCCACCATGATGACAATGGACTAAACCTCTGAACTGTAAGCCCCAGTAAAATGTTTTCCTTTGTAAGAGTTGCAGTGTCTTGGTGTCTCTTCACTGCTGTTGAAAACCTAGCTAAGAAAAAGTAGAAAGCCATCACAAAGTTTCATGGGGAAAGAGCAAATGTTTCAAATGAGCGCCTGTGCTTCCTGATCCTCATACCATTAGATACTGTATCCTCACAGCCTTTATAAACAGGTAGCTAGTCCTCAATATTCTTGTTTCTTCTTTAGCAAAGCCACACCCCAGTTCTGATGTGCAGAGCAAAGTCTGTGGCATGGTGGTATGATGGAGGATGAACTTCTGCATGCTCTGAATATATGTTTCTTTTATTGGTTGATGAATAAAGTTGTTCCAGCCAATAGACAGGCAGCATGTAGCCAGGCAGGAAGTATAGGCAGGGCTACCAGACTAGGAGAATGCTGGAAAGAGGAACACAGAGAATGATTCTCAAAAGAGATACCATGTAGCTACCAGGAATAATGTCTGGACATTCTTCAGTAAGCCAGGACCACCTGGAGATACACAGATTAGTAAAAACGAGTTAATAATTAAGAGAGAGCTAGCCAATAAGAAGCCTCTGTGTGTTTGTTTGGGGCTAAATAACAGTGGGACTGGGTGGGACAGAAACTTCCATCCACAGTGGTAAGATCAGCTAAACTCACACAGAGATCTGCCCTTAAAAGATCAGCTAAACTCACACAGAGATCTGCCCTTAAGAGATCAGTTAAACTCACACAGAGATCTTCCCTTAAGGAGTACAGCACAGTTGAGGTGTGTAAATGAGACAAAAGGAATACAGATGTCTGGTCCTCCAAACCAGCATTTTCTGCAGAGTGTAAGTTACTCCATAATATTAGTACAGTGTAAAACAGCAAAGATCAAGCCTGCTGGACCTGATTGAGAGCTGCTCTTGCAAGGTCTGCAGGACTTCATATGCAAATAAAGCCACTTCTATATAAGGTGTACTAAATCCAGCCCGGGATGCTCAGCCTCCTGAAGTGCTGCAGCATCCGCAGGCGCCTGTGTGAGCAATAAAGAACCCTCTTGCTGTTGCATCCAGTGGCTCTGTCTCGATTTTTGGGCAAGGGTCTCCTGCCAGGAAGATTCCCTGTGGGGGGTCTTTCATTGGAAGTCCCACCGAGATCAGAAGACCCCTGCCCAACTCGACCAGAAGCCCACCGGGAGGTAAGCTGGCCAGCATCAGTGTTCCCTGTTGGTAACTGTGTCTGTTTTGTTGTCCGTACGACTCGGATCCGGGTCACTTGGTATCTGGGTGGCTTGAGAAGGAGCTGACGAGCTCGGACTTCTCCCCCGCCACCCTGGAACACATTCCAGGGGACGTAGAGGTAGGGGCTTGACTTCTTGGAGCCCGTGGCATATACGCCCCTCTATCAGAGAATCAAGGGCCTCTGGTTCTTGAGTCTCCATCTGAATTTTTGTTTTCAGTACCGTGCAGCGCGTCTGGTCACCGGCTGTCTTGTTGTATTGTGTCTGTCTGTTTGTCTCTTGTTTGCATTTGAAGTCATCATGGGACAGTCCCTAACCACCCCCTTAAGCCTAACTCTAGGACACTGGTCTGAGGTTTGAGAACGCGCCGGCAACCAGGCGGTCTACGTAAAGAAAAAGAAGTAGCAGACCTTTTGCTCCTCAGAATGGCCCACTTTTAACATAGTTGGCCGAGGGACAGCACCTTTAACCTTGATACTATTCTGCAGGTCAAAGAGAAGATTTTTGACAAAGGATCCCATGGGCACCCAGACCAGGTCGCCTGCATCGTAACCTGGGAGAACTAGGCTTATGACCCACCTCCATGGGTGGCTCCCTTTGTCTCTCCTAAACCTGCTCCTTCTCCCCCCACCCCTCTGAAACCTGCTCCTTCTCCCCCCGCCCCTCTGGAACCTGCTCCTTCTCCCCTTGCCCCTCTGGAAGCTGCTCCTCCTCCCCCACCCCTCCTAAACCCGCTCCCCCCCCCCCCCCGCGGCACCCTCTCCTTCTCTCCCCGCTCCTACGGCACCTCCTCCTTCTGCTCCTTCTTATTTCTCATCTCTGTACCCTACCCTCACCCGGGAACAATCTCCCCAACCTGTCCTTCGCCCAGATCCTAACTCCCCCCTAATGGATTTGCTCTCTGATGACCCCCCTCCCTATCACCCGCCTCCATTGCAGCCAGTCCCGATAGGAGCTCAACAGACGCCCCCGGTGGGAGACCAGAGGGACGTCACCTACTCACCTCCTAACTCTCCAGGGGCGGAGAGACCAACCACCCTCAGAGATTACCTCCCAGGCGTTCCCCTTACAACAAGGAGGGAACGGCCAACTGCAATACTGGCCGTTCTCTGCCTCTGACCTATACAACTGGAAACAGCACAACCCTCCTTTCTCCAAGGATCCTGTCACCTTGACTAATCTAATAGAATCTATATTAATTACCCATCAACCTACTTGGGATGACTTCCAGCAGCTCTTGCAAACTCTCCTGACCTCAGAGGAGAAACAGAGGGTTTTTCTAGAAGCGAGGAAGAATGTGCCAGGGGAGAACAAACAGCCGACTCAGCTACCGAACGAGGTCGATGCCGCCTTCCCCTTGACCAGACCCAACTGGGATTTTACCACAGATGCAGGGAGGGGACACCTACACCTTTATCGCCAGTTGCTCATAGCGGGCCTCCGAGGGGCCGGTAAATGCCCCGTCAATTTGGCACAGGTAAAGCAAGTAAGTCAGGGTTCCAAGGAGTCTCTTGCCGCCTTTCTAGAGAGACTCAAGGAAGCCTATCGCATGTACACTCCCTATGACCCAGACGTCATAGGGAGTGTACATTTATATGGCAGTCGGCGCCTGACATTAGAAATAAGTTACAGAGGCTGGATGGACTACAGGGCTACACCATCCAGGATCTACTAAAGGAAGCAGAACATATCTATAATAAGAGGGAGACTGTAGAAGAGAGAGAGGACCGTATACGCAGAGAAACTGAAGAGAAGGAGACAGCTAGGGACCGTAAACGAAGTAAGGAGCTAAGCCGCCTCTCGGCCACTTTAGTGCAGAATAGCAATAGGTCAGATAGGCAGGGAGACCAGAGGAGGCCCAGGGTGGATCGGGACCAGTGTGCCTATTGCAAGAAGCCAGGCCACTGGGTGAGAGAATGCCCAAAGACCCCAAAAACCAAAGGGTCCGTGGCCGGAAACCTCTCTTCTGGCTTTAGATGAAGACTAGGGGAGCCAAGTCCAGGAGTCCCCACCCACGCCTAGGCTAACTCTCAGAGTCGGGGGGCAACCAGTCACCTTCCTAGTCGACACTGGAGCTCAGCACTCGGTCCTCACCACCTCCCGGGGCCAACTCAGCGGACAGACAGCCTGGGTGCAAGGGGCCACCGGTGGAAGGCGATACCATTGGACTACTGAAAGGAAGGTGCATCTGGCTACCGGTAAGGTTTCTCATTCTTTCCTCCACATCCCCGACTGTCCATACCCACTACTGGGACGAGACCTACTGACCAAACTCAGAGCACAGATCCATTTCGAGGGGAATGAGGCCACAGTGTCAGGCCCAAGTGGAGCCCCTCTCCAAGTATTAACTCTCAAAATGGAAGATGAATACAGATTGTTTGAGGGGGAACCTACAGTGAAACCCGAGATAGACTCTTGGCTGGAAGATTTTCCCTTGGCCTGGGCTGAAACTGGGGGCATGGGTTTAGCTAAACAACAACCTCCCATAGTCATTGAGTTAAAGGCAACAGCTACACCCATCTCGATTAAACAGTATTCCATGCCTAATGAGGCCTATCAAGGAATTAAGCTTCACATCAAAAGACTCTTGGACCAGGGGATCTTACTTAACTCCCTGTCGGTCGCCATGGAACACTCCACTTCTACCCGTCAAAAAGCCTGGCACAGGCGACTACCGACCGGTACAGGACCTTAGGGAAGTTAATAAGAGGGTGGAGGATATACACCCCACGGTGCCCAACCCATATAACCTTTTGAGTACCCTACCACCCACTCATCCGTGGTATACGGTGTTAGACCTAAAGGACGCCTTCTTTTGTCTCCGGTTGAGCCCTAAGAGCCAGCCAATGTTTGCTTTTGAATGGAGGGACCCCGAACTAGGAATTTCAGGACAATTGACCTGGACGCGGCTCCGCCAGGGATTCAAGAACAGCCCCACTCTCTTCGATGAAGCCTTACATCAGGACCTTGCAGACTTCCGGGTTCAGCATCCATCCCTGATTCTACTCCAGTACGTGGATGATCTCCTACTGGCAGCTCCAACCGAACGGGACTGTCTTAAAGGTACCGGGGCCCTACTACAAACCCTCGGGTATCTTGGGTACAGAGCCTCCACCAAGAAGGCCCAAATTTGCCAGACAGAAGTGACTTATCTGGGGTACAAATTAAAAGAAGGACAGCGTTGGCTAACGGCCGCGTGCAAGGAAACTATATCCCAGATCCCAGTTCCCGGGGGTCACCGGCAGCTGAGAGAATTCTTGGGCACTGCTGGGTTCTGCAGGTTGTGGATCCCCGGATTCGCTGAAATGGCGGCTCCTCTGTATCCCCTAACCAAACAAGGGGCTCCCTTTGAATGGACAGAGGCACAACAGCAGCCCTTTAGTAACATCAAACGGGCCCTACTCTCTTCTCCAGCCTTGGGCTTGCCTGACCTAACCAAACCTTTCAACCTATTCGTGGACGAGAAGCAAGGCTTTGCAAAGGGGGTCTTGACCCAGAGGTTCGGGCCATGGAAGCGACCCATCGCCTACTTGTCCAAGAAATTGGACCCAGTAGCCTCAGGATGGCCCCCTGCTTGAGAATGGTGGCGGCCATTGCGATCCTCATCAAGGACGCAACAAAGCTGACTCTGGGACAGCCATTAACTGTACTGGCACCGCATGCGGCTGAGTCTATCGTCTGCCAGCCTCCTGACCATTGGCTATCCAATGTCCGCATGACCCATTACCCGTCCCTGCTCCTGGACGCTGATCGGATTCGCTTCGGCTCAGCAGTCGCCATTAGTCCTGCAACTCTGCTGCCGCTGCCAGAGGGCCCTATGTCCCATGACTGCCTGCAGATCCTCACGGAAGCACATGGGACCAGGGTTGACCTGTCCGATCAGCCATTAAAAGATGCGGACCACACGTGGTACACGGATGGCAGTAGCTACTTGCTGAATGGAGAACGACGAGCAGGAGCAGCAGTGACCACCGAAAACCAGGCAGTCTGGGCCAGCGCCCTTCCGGGAGGCACCTCGGCACAACGGGCGGAGCTCATCGCTCTAACTCAGGCGCTCCAGCTGGCAGAAGGTAAGAGACTCAACGTGTATGCCGATAGCCGGTATGCCTTCGCCACCGCCCACATACATGGGGAAATCTACCCAAGGAGGGGACTCCTAACCTCGGAGGGCAAGGAGATTAAAAATAAAACTGAGATCTTGGCCCTGCTCAAGGCCCTATTCCTCCCCAAGAAATTGAGCATCATGCACTGCCCAGGGCACCAAAGAGGAGACAGTGCAGAGGCAAAAGGCAATCGTCTAGCAGATGAGACTGCTAAACAGGCCGCTGTGGGCCCCCAGCTCCTCACCGTCACGATCTTAACTGAACCAGGATGGACCCAGCTAATGAACTGGGAATATAGTATTGAAGACTTAGATTTGATACAGAAACTAGGAGCAGACTATGATCCAGAGCGGGACAGATGGGTGCATCAAGGAAAAACCATTGTGCCAACTAAACCTACAATGGACCTAATTAATAACCTCCACAAATTAACTCATTTAAGTGCCCGAAAAATGCAAGTCCTGGTGGACCGAGCAGAGACGGGAAAACTTTTCCTCATAGAGATAAGGCCCTACAAAAGGTCACAGAGACTTCTACGGCTTGCGCTCAAGTCAACGCAGGACAAGCCAAGACTGCCCCCAGGGTCCGTCTCCGGGGACACCAACCTGGAGTCCAGTGGGAAATAGACTTTACTGAAATTAAACCTGGCATGTATGGCTACAAATATCTCCTAGTTTTTATAGACACCTTCTCTGGATGGGTAGAGGCCTACCCCACCAAACATGAAACTGCAAAGGTGGTCACCAAGAAACTATTAGAAGAAATCTTTCCCCGATATGGGATGCCTCAGGTAATAGGATCAGACAATGGGCCAGCCTTTGTCTCCCAGGTGAGTCAGCAGGTGGCCAAAGATACTGGGGATTGATTGGAAATTACACTGTGCATATAGAGCCCAGAGCTCAGGTCAGGCAGAACATATGAATAGAACAATTAAGGAGGTCTTATATAAATTAACGCCAGCAACTGGCTCAAAGGATTGGGTGCAACTCCTACCCCTGGCTCTGTATCCAGCCATGAACACCCCAGGCCCTCACGGCCTTACCCCTTTAGAAATTCTAAATGGGGCCCCCCCCCGCCATCACTTTCTTTGATTCTGATATTTCGGGCTATGCTAATTCCCCCTCTCTCCAAGCACACCTGCAGGCCCTGCAGATCGTGCAGAAGGAAGTTTGGAAGCCCTTAGCAGCCGCCTACCGGGACGCCACTGATACGCGAACAGTGCCTCACCAGTTCCAAATCGGAGACTCAGTCTGGGTCCGGAGACACCAAACCAAAAACCTCAAGCCTCGCTGGAAGGGACCATATACGGTACTCCTGACGACAACGCCTACAGCACTGAAAGTTGACGGTATCGCTACCTGGATCCACGCATCTCACGTGAAGGCTGCCCACCCGGACGCTTCCACGTCTCCTGCCCAGGCATGGAGACTCTAACGTTCTCAAAACCCCCTAAAGATAAGACTTATTCACAATTAGTTGTCTTGTTTGCCCTTTTGACTATCCCCACCCTGTCGACCAGCCCCCATACCCTAAAACAATTAACCTGGCAGATAGTCTCCCCAGCAGGAAATGTCTTGTGGTCTCAGTCAGGGAACCATGCCGTGGGAACCAGGTGGCCCTCGCTCACCCCGGACTTCTGCCAACTGGTGGCAGGGTCAGACTATTGGGATATACCCGACTATGAGGCAGACACATTGCCAGAAAAACTAAGATCAAACCCTGGCAATAGAAGCGTGCGTGGCTATGGTGTCCGGGGAGTCCGGACCTCTATAGGGTGTGCCACCATCGAGAGACAGTGTAAACTGGGTCACCAAGACTTTTACGTGTGCCCAAAGGATGGGAGGGACTTCCACACGTCTCGTAAATGTGGAAGCTACGACTCTTACTTTTCGCCGCCTGGGGCTGTGAGACCACCGGCGGTGCATACTGGAACCCCTCATCTTCCTGGGACAGGTCACCATATTACAGGGCTGGGGAAGGGGACATTGTTCAAACTGTTCTGGAGGACTCTGCCTTCCCCTTAACATCACCTTTACACCGAGTGGTAAAAAGGCTCCAGAATGGAGCAGGGGATACACTTGGGGGCTCCGCTGGTACACAGAAGGAGAAGATGGGGGGGGGGTTAACTTTAAAATACAACTTAGAGTACAACAGGCCTCCCAACCAATCGGTCCCAACCAAGTCCTGGCGGAGCAGAGGCCAGCGTCCTCCTCCGGTTTCATACCAACCCCCCTGCCAGTGGGTAACTCAGTTAGAGTTGAAATAACCACACCAACCTCGCCCCCTGACCAGTCCCAGGATGTCCAGTCCCAAGAAGACTTCCTGGGGACAGGGGATAGACTTATTAACTTAGTAAAAGGAGCCCACCAGGCCCTTAACTCCTCAGACCCCGCTCGAGCTAGAGACTGTTGGCTATGCCTCAGCGTACTGTTTCAGGAAATTTCTCTAATTATACCAGAGCCCCGGAATCGGGTTTGGTACTGCCTCACCACAAGCTAACTTTACCCGACGTTTCTGGGCAAGGGACATGTTTGGGTCAGGTTCCTAGGTCGCACCAGCCACTCTGCAATCAGACCATCCAAACTCTGTCAGCAGGGAACTATTATCTGGCCGCCCCAAATGGTACGTACTGGGCCTGTAACACAGGTCTCACCCCCTGTATATCGGCCCAAGTGTGGAACCAAACCTCAGAGTTCTGTGTGTTGGTCCAGCTTTGGCCCAGGATCACCTATCATAGTTCAGAGACCGTTTATGAGTTCTTCGAAGACACCCCTAGAAGGCAGAGGAGGGAGCCAGAAACCATTACTCTCGCGATCCTCCTGGGAGTCGGGAACATTGCGGCAGGGATAGGCACTGGAACTCATGCCATGATACAGACAGGGAGATTCCAAGCCTTGCATGACGCCATGCATTCAGACCTAAAAGCGGTTGAAAAGTCAATCACTGCCCTCGAAAGATCCCTGACCTCTTTATCTGAAGTTGTTTTACAAAATAGACGGGGATTAGATTTACTCTTTTTAAAGGAGGGTGGATTATGTGCGGCCCTTAAAGAAGAATGTTGCTTTTATGCAGACCAGACAGGGGTAGTGAGAGAGACAATGGCTAAGCTAAGAGAGAGGCTGGCCCTGTGAGAAAGAGAGTTTAGTTCACAACAAGGCTGGTTTGAAGGATGGTATAACAGATCACCCTGGTATGTTACCTTACTTTCTACTCTTATGGGACCTCTAGTTATACTGGTGATTATTCTGACATTTGGTCCCTGTATCCTTAACCGGCTGGTTCAGTATATCAAGGAAAGGCTGTCAGTCATCCAGACCTTAGTCCTAACTCATCAATATCAGGTTCTAAAGCAACAGGAGATAGAGAATCCTCACAACAGTTAAGTAAAGGATTTTACTTAAGGATAAAAGAAATGGGGGAATGAAAGACCCCCGCCACACTCATGTAAACCGCGCCCTTTCTAAGAGCGCGAAATTCCAAAGCTGTGACATCATCAAGACGAGTACCCTATCGGTGGTGCTCTCGCCTTCTACCTCATTTTGCATATCAAGCCTGCCGGACCTGATTGAGAACAGCTCTTGCAAGGTCCGCAGGACTTCATATGCAAATAAAGCCACTTCTATATAAGCTGTACTAAATCCAGCCCGGGATGCTCAGCCTCCTGAAGTGCTGCAGCATCCGCAGGCGCCTGTGTGAGCAATAAAGAACCCTCTTGCTGTTGCATCCAGTGGCTCTGTCTCAATTTTTGGGCGAGGGTCTCCTGCTGGGAAGATTCCCTGTGGGGGGTCTTTCACTATAAAAGAGATTAATTGCCCCTCTATGATCTCTAAACTTCTGGTGGAAGAAAATTAAAAATAAACACTAACAGTATCATCCCTGAAGGTGCTATTGTGGAATGTTACTTTAACTATGTAAAGCTGTGCTACTTTATGTTGTGGAATATCACTTTAACTAGGCAAAGGTGTGTTACATTTGTTTATGCTGCATTTGTTGCTGCTTTACCTTGCCTGCCTAAGGCACCTAATTGATCTAATAAAAATCTGAACAGCCAATAGCTAGTCAGTAGATAGACAGGTGGGACTGGTGGGCAAAGAGAATAAGTAGGAGGAAGAATCTAGGCTCAGAGAGAAGAGACTAAGGGAAAGGGAGGGACATGCCCAGAACCAGTCAGCCAGGCAACCACCATCCACAGTAGGATATACAGAATTAAAGTGAGATAAAAAGCTGAGATACAATATAAGTGACGAGAAATGGGTTAACTTAAGTTATACGCACTAGTGGGACAAGCATAAGACAACACCTAGCATTCATAACTAATAATAAGTCTCTGTGTCTTGATTTGGGAGCTGGTTGGCAGCCCAAAGAAAGCCTGTTACAAAGTGCTTCAGTGATCAAGGGTATATACAGTTTGGCCAGCAGTTCTGATCTAGAAGCATCTGATGACATAGGAGGGTAGCAATGTCCCCAACAGTACAGTGACCCTTCCATGCTGAGTTCCACAGCTCATGTAGGGTTGCTATTGACACTGTTGTCATGCCACTTTTATGATGGCCGTATAACACTGTTTTCTTAGCTTCTGGAATTTCTAATTCTGAGGCTTCCTTCAGACTATGATTTCAAAACCATCTAGAACTATTCTGATATAAATAAACTCTTCCTCTTATAAAATGTATAGCCAAAAATAATTAACATTTGCTAACCATTGAGGGTTAGTTTTGTTTGTTGGTGTCCTATTATTCTTTACTGAATCCATATATATATATATAGCACTTGGCTATGCAGAAGGGCCTTTACTTGCTGAATCATCTCAATAGTCCTTTATTTCCAAGATTATATTGCTGAAATCTTTGGGGTGGCTGTGCAGACTGAGACAGGGCTTCTCTGTCTAAAGGCCTTGGCTGGCCTGGAACTCACTCTGTAGACCAGATTGGCTTCAAACTTACAGAGATCTGCCTGCCTCCTTCTCCCTAGTGCTGAAATTAAAGGTGTATGCCACTTTGCCTGGTTTTATTGCAGAAATCTTAACACAATGAAGGATATCCTTCATTCTAATGTGAATCAGAAGGAATCTGTAATGCAAATTTGTCTTATTGCTGGTCTTATCCTACTAATCATTTCTGATAAGGTCTCCTTTATTAAAATCTACCCAGATTCTTTATATTTCTTTTATTTAAAACATAATTTTTCTATAGAGTATATTCTAAATGCAGACCCCCCCCAAACTCTACCCATCTGGATCCACACCCTTTTCTGTCTCTCATTGGAAAATAAATGGGTATCTAAAAATAATAATAAAATAAGGAAAATAAAAAACAAACAAGTCCTAATATGATAAAATAACCAAACAAGAAAAGGAGCCAAATAAAAAGCATAAGAAACCCATACTGACACAAACATATACAATTGCAAACACAGAAATTCCATACAAGCATAAAACCAAGAATCCGTAGTATATAGGCAAAGGGCTTGCAGGAGGAAAAGAAAGCACTGACCACACTATAAGACAAAAGAAACCTCTAAAGACACCATTGAGTTTGTTTTGTGTTGGCTATCTACTGCTGGTCGCAGGGCCTGTCTTAAGAGTGGTTTGTTTCCCCGCTGAGACACCCTTGGAGAAAGGTAAGTTTTCCTTTGGCAGTGGTTACCAATTGGAGATAGGTTCTGGGTCAGGGATGGGGGTTTGTTTCCGGTTCTCTCACCTCTTCCAAAGCAAAGCCACGCAGGCCCTGAGCATGGTGCCTCGGGCTCTGTGAGTCCGTGTGTGCCAGGCTCCTGTCAGGAAGGCCTTGGTTGCTTGGTGCCGTCCACCCCCTGCTTCTTACACTCTTTCTGTAGAAAATACTTCTGAATCATAGTTATTCTAATATGCTATTTGATAGGACAATCGCTACCTGTCACCTCGTAGCATACATCCAGCGCTGTTCAAATATACCATATAACTTGGTTTAAGGCAATAGCCAAATGGGAATTAAGTCAAGGTAAAATTTTATGCAGAAGTATTTCTTTAAATCAAAATGTTCTGTCTATAACTACTATCTCAAGTTGATGGAATAAAATGAACTGAATGTACTATAAGGAAAGGCATATTCATTTTATTTAAGAAAACATCAATTTAAGAAAATTTGTTCATATTCAATTAGAAGGAGAAAAAAAAAAGGAAATCTTGGTGAAACTATTTGTTCCTAAACTATCTGTAGACTAGCCAGGCCACTTCAGTTCACTCACATTATACAATAGATGATGAAGGAGGGGGCTTATTTTTAAGAGTTTCCCATGTGAAAATGGGTCTCCCAGTTTTGGCGTATAAATTGGTTCTGGCCGGCATAAGAGTAATTTAAATCAGATTTTGAATGAAATGATTCTTATTCGGAAAATGTGAGCAAATAAAAACACACAAATTTTAGGGGATTTTCATTTTAATATATCTTTTTGTCTAAATAAACAAGCACAAAAATGCAAATATTTAAATATGTTATAACAAAGATTGTAGTAAGATTCAGAGTGTGGTAATCTCTGCCTGACTGGAAATCAGGGGTGAGATCATGTAAGGGAAAGTTCAAGAAGAGACCTTCATGGTTCAAGCCCCCCAGCTTTCCTAGTGAAACCACCTGTCTGGGAAACAAGCATGCCTGTCAAGACTCACAGCCAAGAACAGAGGCTGAAGCTTGGGACCGTCCACAGCCTCAGCCCAGATGGTCCATTTAACAACAGGGCTCTGCACTCATTATTATTTAACCACTGTTATCACAAAGTCTTAATATATTCATCCTAGCCTAGGACTTATCATAGCTTATATTTCCTCTTTAATTCAGATAATTTTCTTTAATTTTTCAGTTTTCATTATCATCTCTAATCTTTTTACTTTATTAATTCTTGGCTTGTATTTTACTGTTTTATAGTTCTTTTTGTACTTTTTATATTTTATTACAACATTTTGGTTATTTTTTATCATCTACTTTAAACATTACCTCATTCTATAAAGAGCAATTGGGAACATTGACTAAAGGATGCCTGGCCTGAAGGACCTAAACAATATCTTTTCTTGTGGGTTTTACAGTGTCTCTTCGGGACTGCAATAGTTAGTTTCTAACATCCCGCTCCCAGATAAATCATTAGAATGTGATATAACTCTGACAGAGGGTGTGGCTGACCCCATTTGCTCTGTCTCCAAGGTCAGCCTACTGAACAAAAGTACATCTTTGACACACCATAACATCCCCTGTGGGGGGCACACAGGGGCAGCTGGATGACAGTGGCCTTCCCTCATGAACTGACACTGTTGGAAACCGCATGGTTCTGTTCTATAAAATGGCTGGCCTCTGGGGAACATTCTGGAAATAATCTGCAGTTTACCAGAAGGGAGGCGGTCATAATCACTAGGGGCTGGACATGTCCTCCACACTTGGCATGGTCCCTCTGCAGTGAAGATATTTTTGTGTTATTTTTTTTCTATACTGACAAAATCAACTTAAAGGAGAACGGGTTGATTCCAATTCATACTTCAGAATATTTTATCATGGCAATGTGGAAAGAAACTAGTAACGCACTTTCTGTCCTTCGTGAGCCTGTACTACAATCCAGGCTATGCCATGAATCCAGTAATTTCTTCCTAAACTAGATCTGTGAGAAGTTCTCCTCTGAACCTGTGCATCTGAGGGCAGATAAAGATTTACACACAAGAGATTATCAAATGCTTATTATTTGCAGGCACTGCAAATGTAAGTTGAAAGGTATGGGGGGAAGGGTTTTGATGTCAAAAAAATGAGATCCAAGTCTTTTATGACATAAGCCAGGAGAATGAACGGTTCTAATTTATTGTCATTCAGAGGGATTGTCAACATATGCACAGTTTAATAAGCCATACATTTCACACAAAATTAAAATTTTATATTTAATAGTTGTTACTTGGTTTTTCATTCTATTTCATCAACACATTTTTCTATATTTACACTGAAGCCGTATTAATTTCATAAAGTTCACCCTCAGTTTTATCCAAACTATTACTAACTATATTTGAGATTTAATTTTCCCAATTTAAAAACAAAATCACAGTGTACTTCAGTAAAGCAAATTTTTCAGTGTTCTTACAGAAATTTCATTGTATTTGTAAGTTTTAAAACTATAACACATATGTCAGTAAAGATTATATGCCATTCAAGAATATAGTATGCATTCCACTAATTAAGATTGACTATTCCTTGACTCTTAATAAGATACTATACAAGTGGTTCTGAATCTTCCCAATTAAATATATGATAAGTGTTTTAAGTTTTATCTCTAGTTAACAAAATGTTTTCCAGTTCTACATTTTCATTGCTATCATAATGTATCCATTTTTATTAAATATATAATAGAAATATACACATGTATACAAATATACACATTTACAGCAAATACATGTAACACAAATATATATTAATATATGCAAATATATACCTGCAATATAACTATATTACCCAGTAATATTTTATATGATGTAAATGACAGCATATTTTCACTCTACACAATTATATTTTTAATATGTTTTAATTAAAATATAATCACCTTTCTTCTTCTCTTTCCTCCATTAAGCCCCATGTGCCCTACCTCCAACTTCTCCCATGCCCCCTACTCTCAAATTGATACATACCTGTGTACATACCTGTGAGCATATGAATGTATGTGCATACACAAATATATAAATACAACCTACTGAGTCCATT